GTGTTAGAATAAACCATAAATAAACTTATAATTAAAATCAAGGAAGCTTTATAAAATATTAAGTGTACAGTATTAGACTAGATTTAAGTGTAATATTTTTTTCAACACCACTTTGAATTTAAATATTTTTTTATTATCCTGCAGATCTCAAGTGATCATATTCTTGTGTTAATGCATGTATAACTGTTTGCTAAAAACTTTTTTTAATGCATCTGAAATTAATCAAATAACTCTACACATTTATTAATTTATTGTATTAATTTATTGTATAACAATATATACATATATATATATATATATATATATATATATATATATATATATATATATATATATATATATATATATATATATATATATATATATATATATATATATATATATATATATATATATATATATATATATATATATATATATATATATATATATATATATATATATATATATATATATATATATATATATATATATATATATATATATATATATATATATATATATATATATATATATATATATATATATATATATATATATATATATATATATATATATATATATATATATATATATATATATATATATATATATATATATATATATATATATATATATATATATATATATATATATATATATATATGTATATATGTATATGTATATATATATATATATATATATATATATATATATATATATATATATATATATATATATATATATATATATATATATATATATATATATATATATATATATATATATATATATATATATATATATATATATATATATATATATATATATATATATATATATATATATATATATATATATATATATATATATATATATATATATATATATATATATATATATATATATATATATATATATATATATATATATATATATATATATATATATATATATATATATATATATGTATATATTGTTATACAATAAATTAATACAATAAATTAATAAATGTGTAGAGTTATTTGATTAATTTCAGATGCATTAAAAAAAGTTTTTAGCAAACAGTTATACATGCATTAACACAAGAATATGATCACTTGAGATCTGCAGGATAATAAAAAAATATTTAAATTCAAAGTGGTGTTGAAAAAAATATTACACTTAAATCTAGTCTAATACTGTACACTTAATATTTTATAAAGCTTCCTTGATTTTAATTATAAGTTTATTTATGGTTTATTCTAACACATTCATCTGGGTTTTCTCATTTTTGCACCCTGATCTTAAATTATTTTGTAACAATATTTCCAGTTTAGCCTTTGGTATACAGACTAATGTAAAACCAATAAAAAAGATCTGCACATATTTAATTAAATACTGTCCCATATCAATGTTTTTTTCTCTCTCGGAGAAATATGTTATGGCCACTGTTTTTTGTTATGGCCATATTTTTTATACATACAAATATATATTTTGAAATTATTTTATATGTACATTGTTTCATTATAGAACTGGATAAACCATGGAGGAAATTTGACTGGGGGTAAGCTATATTTACCTATTTCAATGGTCATTATTTTAAAATGGTCTATAAAATATTGTTGTCATTTATGCACTTTGCTATGTTATTATTATGTAACATTTATTGTTTTAATCACTCTTGATGTGTGCATGACAACATCAAGTCTGTTCACAAGTTGTTCTGTGCTTGTGTGTGTGTATGTGTGAGAGTGTGTGTGTGTGTGTGTGTGTTTGCAAAAGAAAGTTGAATCAAACCCATATCCACAAATTGAATCTCTATCCACATATTTCTTATATAGGGAGCTCATGAGTTGATTCAAGTAGGTTTGACTAGAAGTGTTGGAAAAAAATGTACTAGTGATGGTGTGATTCGGGAAAGTCTAAATTGGACATGCGCTCGACCGGAAGTGCGATATGCACATCAATATACAGCAGCAGCAATTTTTATGACACTGTATACAATACTTAATATTATGGGTTTAGGGTTGGGGTAGGCGTTAAAAAAGCAATTTAGTAATTGGTAATTATATATAATTATATAATATATATAATCATTAGCCCCCTTGTTTCTCCAATTTCTGTTTAATGGAAAGAAGTTTTTTTCAACACATTTCTAAACATAATAGTTTTAATAGCTAATTTTTAATAGCTGATTTATTTTATTTTTGAGGACAGTAAATAATATTTGACTAGATATTTTTCAAGACACTTTTATACAGCTTAAAGTGACATTTAAAGGCTTAACTAGGTTAAATAGGTTAACTAGACAGGATAGAATAATTAGGGAAGATATTGTATAATGATAGTTTGTTCTGTAGACTATCTAAAAAGTTCTATAGCTTAAAGGGCTAATAATTTTGACCTTAACCCTTTCAGGCTCAAATTAAATTCTAGAAACAGGCAAAGATATATTTATTTATTTATTTATTTATTTATTTATTTATTTATTTATTTTTTTATTATTTTTTTTATTTTTTATTTTTTTTTATTTATTTTTATTTTATTATTTATTTATTTTTTTAATACGATCATATTAACCACAACAACGAATGACATCAGGTACAATAATAAACAAGGAAAATTAATATTAATTTTAAAAATACAGTATGAAATAAGATAATAAAAAACTATCAAATTAAACAATATTTACAAAGTCCTTAGAAAATTTAGCAGTTTTATTATTTTTTTTTTTTTTTTTTTTGCTCTAAACATTTTGTAAAGTAGCAATTATACAGTTTGAGTCAAAATTCTGCAACTTAGGTAATGATTAAGAAATTTTACATTTTTTGATATAATATTTACCCAATAAATAAATAAACTGCCTATAAATTCTGTTACTGTATGTTTGTCATGAGAAAAGTAACACATTATATAACACATGGAAAAATTAAAGTTAAACTTACTTTTAATGTAAAAAAAGACATAAATCAGACCGAAACGCTTTAACATGTGGGCATTTGACAAAAAGATGATCAATCGATTCGATAGTTACAGAAAACACAGTTTGAATTAGCATTAGCAAATTTAGATACAATCTCGTTTGTGGGGTAGATATTGTTTAGATAGAATAAATAATACTCTGTACAACTACTGTTTTTACATTACTTTGATGGTTGGGTTTAGGGTTGGGGTGGGGATAGACGTTAGAAGCAGAAATGGGAAACACTGCTTAAAACAGTTTACACTAAGGCCATAGTGGACATAGCACATTCTGAATCGGTGTCCTCTGGTCTATATTGTGGGATCCTATAAGCAGCAAAATTAAATGTAATATGTAAAATTAAAGTGTATTTAATGTAATATGCAAAACGACAATGCAATGTGTAAATTTGCCGTTTATTTCAGAAATTAAATTAGCATTTTCTAAAACCATGTGGTAAAAGTTTGGTGCAAAAAAAGAAGAAATTATATAACTATTATTATTATATTAATTATTATATTATTTATAATAATATAAAATATAAGTTTTAAAGTGTCATTTCCATACTAATTTGAATGATTTTAGGCAAATTTTTAAGAATGATATTATTCAAACAGTACATGCATACAACTAGTAAATGTTAGTGTACTGAATTATAATGGCATCATAGACAATTACATTTATGACAGATTTATGAATTATGCTGTCTTGCTAATGTCAAGATGTCAGGAAAGACAAAGAGATGTTTTGTTGAATTTGGTTATGTCAAGTTGTCATTAGAAAGACAATTTAAACAAAGTCACCCTTGCATTTAAAGTGATATAACTGAGCCAATGGCAGTTGTCTAAATCATTTATCCTTTATATTCTTGACAGTCTTATGAAAATCACTTGAAGTGTTACCAAATAAACATATGTATACATATAGGGAGTATGTAAAATCCCATGAGGTGTTTAGTTTTATTGTTCTCCCTCTTAGAATAAATCTAAATATTTTTACAGTACAGTAAGTAAAAAAAAAATTGTGCTGACTGAAGTTCTAGAGAATAAACTTGTGTTTTGACAGACAAAAAGAAGCCCTGAAAGAAAAGCTGGAAAACTTCTCTCTGAGTGATCCAAATGTTAAGGAGATCAAGATCCTGGTGGCTGGACAAGTTGGAGCAGGAAAGTCCAGCTTCATTAACTCCATCAACAGTGCCATTCAAGGACGGATCTCCACTAGAGCACTAGTTAACTCAACTGAAGGAGGCAGTCACAGTTTTACAAAAAAAGTAGGTGTTTGTTACCCATAGCCAGACTGGTGAAAAGGGTGGTTCTTTTTTCTCAAAAAGTTGACCTTTTTGCAGTTATTGAACTCATTTTTCTATGTAATTATGGGTTTGAACATTCATTTAAATACTGCATTTTAGTGACATTTTAAACACTATTTTTAGCTGGATTAGCTGGTCGGGTGTTCATAAGAACACTTTTTGATATACCAAGAATATTTCCTGAATATTTAAAATAACAAAATATTAATAAATACTTATTTTTTAAATACTAATTTATCACATAATACCATTTGAAAAAATCTGTTAAAGTTTTTAATTAAAATCTGTAGCCAATTGT